GGTATCTCTATCATATATATATAGAGGGTTTTAGGGTTAAGGAACTTAATTTAAGTTACTATATTGGGGAAGCCATATTAACTACTATGCATACACATTCTGGTAACTGAATTTGAGTTCCCTGACAGCAGCCCAGGTTCTCGAACGAAGGGGCGCCCGAGCCTGTAGCACGCCCTGCATTGGGACGAGCCGAGGACTGTGTCGCCAAGTTCGTTGCCAGAACCTGCGTTGATGTTCAGAAAATTAAGGTAGCATGATGAGGATGCTCAAGTATTTCCGATGTATCCTGATGGGTTTCTGACTCGGTTGAAATTCTTTAACACCCTACATAACCCACCTTCGATTTCATTTGCCGTTTTCTTTTCTACGTGAGCCTCCATTACAGTATCTTCACCCTAAACCCTAAGCCTACCTTGAACCCGAAGCCCTCAACCCTAAACCCTTGCCCTCTAAACCCTAAACCCTAAACCCTAAACCCCAAAACCCTAAACCCTAAACCCCAAAACCCCAAAACCCCTTGCCCTTTAAAACCCTTGAAGGCAACCCAGGAATGGAACCAGCAAAGCCAGAGATCATCCAGGCTGTCCCCGCGTACCGGGCTCTGGCGGGCTTCGGCCAAGTCTTGCGACGGAAACTGGGTTTGTTTAGGGTTTAGGGTTTAGGGTTTAGACTTCTTGGGGTTAGTAGGGAATGAGGGAATATATAGGGATGGTACACAGAGTAGGTTCACTTACTCAATGCCAACCACCGGTGTGGTCAACAAATTTAAGCCAAGTGTTTCTAATGATAAGGGTTAGCTGGGATTATATGGGGGCTTTCGAGGGTCAGGTTACTCTGATATGGACAGAAGTCAAAGATGGGCATTCCCTGTAACCCGGCTAAGCTAATTTCCTTACTTGCAACCAGGAGAACTTCCCGCAAGCGTCGCTTCAGCTATCAGACAAGTAGTATAGACCAGTTCTGGAGCCATAGCTGGCATGGGAGCAAATACAGCAAAATATTGACTGCGTTGTACTTGAACAACGGCATGCTTGCAGTACTGGTATCAACTCTGGGCAGTCTCATGGTGATGATTTTTGTAGGCTTGGGCCTGATACCTGGGCTCCGTACCAGTGGGGGCTTGCCACTCACTCCGTGGTGCCTTCTGTCAGGCTTCGGGATGTATCTGCTGGTGTTATTCGGCTGGAGACCAAGACACAGCATCTTCATTGACGTGCTATGCATTAATCAACAGGATGAGGTCGAGAAAGCAGCGGGACTTCTTAGCATGGGGGCAATTCTGAAATGTTCAGATGCACTCCTCGTGCTTTGGGACGCGACGTACACACGTCGGCTGTGGTGTGTGTTCGAGATGAGCGCATTTCTGCACAGTCGTCCGGCTAATCAAAGACCCAAGCTAACCATCCGACCAACAATATTGGGGCCGTGCCTCATCTCTCTTCCCATAGCTTTGGTTGCCATTGTCGTTGCTATTGGCCTACTAGACTGGGATGAGCTAGCACATAAGAAGCACATATTGTTTCCCCTCATGGCACTGTGTGCTTTCATCGGCGGCTACGTGGTTGTTGCAGTGTTACGAGCTTATTTTGGCTCCGTGCAACAGCTACAAGATGAGCTGTGCAACTTTACAGTTCGAGACAGCCTTTGCTTTTGCTGCAGCACGAACCACGTGTCGAAACGAGGCCACCCAATTGCGTGTGATCGGAGGATTGTTCTCCAATGTATCAGGACATGGTTCGGTAGCGTTGAGGCCTTTGATGCAAAGGTCCGGACACAGGTGCTGGAATTGCTTGCGCAACAGCTGTCAAATGAGATCTGGACTTACACGCAGTGTGCAGGTTCAGCTATTCCGCTGCTTTGGCATTTCATGGACAATGCAGCCACGAATGCAGCCATGGTACCCGATCACAATGGCACGCTGTATATTCTTTGGGCTATTAGGGAGCTTGTTCGTGGACTTGGATGGACGCTAGGCGTTCTGCCCTTGGTCTTCTTTTTGGGAGCAAGATTGGCATACGCTTTTCGACGCAGGCGCACATGGCTGTGTTGCGGCGTGCTGGTGAACTCTTCCATCGTGGGATTCTTAGTCCTTGCCCCTGGGTTGCTGTTAAAGAACTTAGGTTTCATTTTCCATGCTGGGTATATATAGTAATTATCATGGTTTCCTTCATATAGTAGCTTAGATTATGTTCCTTGAATCCCTATATTCCCCCTGTTACCATTCCATTTTCTATCTTCTTTTCCATTTGATTCTCCACTATAGGGGGATAATACACGCTAAACCCTAAACCCTAAACCCTAAATCCTAAACCCTAAACCCTTAAGCGACCCAGGTCTTTGTGGCAGCCCTGGAGCTTGAACAGCTGTGCTGGATGCTGGAAAACGTGCTTTCGGGCGACGAGCAGTTTCATCTCAATGGTTTGTTGCCAGGTACTTGCTTCTAGACTGCTGTTAAGAAATTAGGGTTTCGGGTTTAGGGGCTTAGGGTTTAGGGTTTAGGGTTCTAGATTGCTGTTAAGAAACGTAACGTAAACCACAAATCAGAAGAAACCATTTTTTCTACATGGATTGCTTGGTTGCAGTATGGTAACTTCATGAGACTCCCCAAGCCCTGAGCCCTAAACCTCGAACCTTAAGCCCTAAGCCCCGATGTCTAAACCTTTCTCCTTAAATTCCAGAACCTCAACCCTAAACCCTAAACTCTAAACCTTAAACAAGAGATTCCTTACTTACCTTTGGCTAGCTGGGAGTGAGGGAACGTAAAAGAACATGCAAACTACTGTAATGGGTTCTATAGGGACTGAGGATCCATGCCTTCATTCCTAGCTAACCAAAGGAAAGCGTGACAACAACCCAGGCTAAAATTCAGAACCTAAACCCTAAGCCTTCAACCCTGAGTTCCCGCCCTAAGCCCTACACCCTAAATAGGAGTTTCCATTTTCTTTTCCATTGTCCTTATATACCCCCCAATATAATACCAATATAATCCCTATACATCCCTATAACCCAGGCTTGTTCCCCAAACCCTAAAGCCTAAACCCTGAACCTAGGCTTGTTCAGTGTCATCACGGTGTCGTCTACCTGCCTGCTGTTTGCGTGTCACAGGCACGCGTCTCAGGCCAGGAGGCCGTCGCCATCACTAGGGCTCAGGGTTTAGGGTTAAGAGTTAAGGGTTAAGGGTTCAGGGTGTCAGGGTTTAGGGTTTAAGGGTTTAGGGTTAAGGGTGTAGGGTTAAGGGTCGCGTGTGCAGCATGAGCCATTTGTACATGTC